AATCCAACAGCTAGATTCAAAGTGCGAAAATGGGCTTCCTTGTAAAGCCGGCTTGGCAAGGACATCTAGCGAAGCCGGCTTGGCAAGGAGCGTTGCAACGGTTAGGTGGAGGACAGGAGGCAAAGTCCACCAAAATAACCACGGCCGGTTAGGGTTAGGAGGAGGGGAAAAGTACTGGCTAACGACTTACGTAGCTTAGCGTTAGCCAGACTGGTGCACGGTCCTGTGATGTGCCTTCAGAGTCCCCAGAAAGTGAAAAGCACCTCCCAACTCCACATTTCACCTTATAAAAGCCACAAAAGTGCATTACCTCTGCGCTGGTTCAAAAAATTGGACTCCACGGGTCCTGTAGCTGTTGATTTTTTTATCCTTAATTCAGGCCGACTTGGTCCTGCTTCACTCTGCCCTGTTGCAACGTTTCGGAGGGCGGCTTGTCCTTCATCAGGCATGACAGAGTGGTATCTTTTAAATGTCCTTTTCCTTAGGTTTCCCTTTAATTTGGTTCAAAAACGGTAAGTATTTTCCTTTTTTCTAGCTTGAGGTAAGTGTTTTCTTGTTGTTCTCTTCAGCTTGAGGCCTCTAATCAGAATAATATCTGCTAATTTTGTAATCTGCACCCTATTTGGGTGTCTGACGATTAAAATCCAATTCACTTCTTAGCCTTCTCCTGCTTGAGAATTTTAAATTTCCAGTGGGTCACAATAATCACTGATGTTAAGTTTAGGTGTTGCAGCTAGGTAAGGATGTCCTCACTCACCAGGGAAAGCTCCAGAATGACACACACGGCACTGGCTGGTTAGGGAGAGGGGAAAAAAGAGCTGGCCAACGACTTACAAAGCTCTGCGTTAGCCAGTCTGGTGCACGGTCCTGTGATGCGCCTCCAGAGACCCCAGAAAGGCAAAAACACTCGCTCCTTGTTTGAGGTTTTAAGCATTTCCCACACTTCCCATGGTAAAAAACAAAAGTGCATTACCTTTGCATTTGTTCAAAAAATTGGACTTCACGAATCCTTTAATGTCTGCATCCTACTTGGATGTCTTACGATGAATTTTCCTATCTTCCTGTCCTATTAATCCAGGCCTACTTGGTCCTGCTTCACTCTGCCTTGTTGCAACGTTTCGGAGAACTATTTGTCCTTCATCAGGCTTTACAGAGTGGCATCTTTAAGTTTCCTTTTTCTTTAGGTAAGGGGGTTATAGCCACGATCATCAGGTGATGATCCTTGTGCTCATCTAGCAAAGCCGGCTTGGCAAGGACAGGGCCGCGACTCCCCTTGTAAAGCCGGCTTGGCAAGATCATCTAGCCAAGCCGGCTCGGCAAGCTCAGGGGTCACAGGGGTCGAGCCCATGTTAAGTCAACAGAGGCCTCCCGGACACCTTTTCCGGGGCCCGTTTGGCGAGGCGAGGCTCGACGGCCCCGGGGCCGGCCCGGCCAGACAGCGGGTGCCGAGCCGGACGCGCGGACGCCCGGGTCGGCCCCCGGAGCGCCGGGACCGCCCCGGAGCCGAGGCCAAAGTTGGGAGGTTAGGCAATGTTAAGTCAATGGGGGCCTTTTGGACACCTTTTCCGAGGCCTTTTCCGCCAGACGAGGTCCCGCGGCCCCGGGGCTGGCGCGGCGCGGTAGCAGGCGCCCAGCCGGACGCACGGACGCCCGGGTCGGCCGGCTGAGACCGCGGGAAGCGCCCCAAAAGGCGGGGCAAGGTTGAGAGGGCAGGCAATGTAAAGGCAATGGGATCTAGCGAAGCCGGCTTGGCAAGGACATGGCCGTGACCGGTCTAGCGAAGCCGGCTTCGCAAGGTCATCTAGCGAAGCCGGCTTCGCAAGGAAAGCCGAGTTGACACTTTGAAATGAGCTGTTGGATGCTGTCCCTCTCGCAGCGTTTGGGACGGAATCCAACAGCTAGATTCAAAGTGTGAAAATGGGCTTCCTTGTAAAGCCGGCTTGGCAAGGACATCTAGCAAAGCCGGCTTGGCAAGGTCATCTAGCGAAGCCGGCTTGGCAAGGAGCGGGCCATGACCGGTCTAGCGAAGCCGGCTTGGCAAGGACATCTAGCAAAGCCGGCTTTGCAAGGACATCTAGCGAAGCCGGCTTGGCAAGGAGCGGGCCGTGACCGGTCTAGCCAAGCCGGCTTGGCAAGGACATCTAGCCAAGCCGGCTTGGCAAGGACATCTAGCGAAGCCGGCTTGGCAAGGACATCTAGCGAAACGGAGTACCAGGGGCACGGCCGCCTTGGGCGCGCGGCTTTGCGTGGCCGCAGGGGGGGCTTAAGTGTGGGTGCCCAGGTTCGACCGGAGGTCAAGGTGCCCGGAGGTGGGCCCTTTTTGCTGAATGTTTACCCGGGAAGGTGAGCCACTTTCTGGGGGGGCGATGGGCGGCTCCCCTGGGGTGGGCCTTGTAAAGCCGGCTTGGCAAGGACATCTAGCGAAGCCGGCTTGGCAAGGAGCGGGCCGTGACCGGTCTAGCGAAGCCAGCTTGGCAAGGTCATCTAGCGAAGCCGGCTTCGCAAGGAAAGCCGAGTTGACACTTTGAAACGAGCTGTTGGATGCTGTCCCTCTCGCAGCGTTTGGGACGGAATCCAACAGCTAGATTCAAAGTGTGAAAATGGGCTTCCTTGTAAAGCCGGCTTGGCAAGGACATCTAGCGAAGCCGGCTTGGCAAGGAGCGGGCCGTGACCGGTCTAGCAAAGCCGGCTTGGCAAGGTCATCTAGCCAAGCCGGCTTGGCAAGGAGCGGGCCGTGACCGGTCTAGCGAGGCCGACTTGGCAAGGGTGAAACGGATTACCAGGGGCACGGCCGCCTTGGGCGCGCGGCTTTGCGTGGCCACAGGGGGGGGCTTAAGTGTGGGTGCCCAGGTTCGACCGGAGGTCAAGGTGCCCGGAGGTGGGCCCTTTTTGCTGAATGTTTACCCGGGAAGGTGAGCCCCTTTCTGGACAGAAGCAGAAGGGTACCTTATGCGTCAAATGCTTTATCAGGTTTTTGGCAACCTGGGATGGAAGTGTTTTGTACATCCTCTAGATGTCTGAGGCACTTAAGCCCCTGTGCCACGTCAACGCAGTCCATGTGGATGTGTTTTTTTTAAATAAAAAATTAACCCAGAGCAATTAACAATTTACAACACAGGAATTACCAACCATTAAATAAAGAATGGATACTGTATGTGATGCACATATTTGGTCTGACCTACTGATGCATGTGTAATACTACTTTGAGGCTTTGTGCTTTTTAATGATTGTAACATTGACCAGGGAATATTACCCTGCTTTACAGAAACAGTGTTAATCCTTTGTATCCTGTCTCAATGGTTGTTGTTGTTTCTCTTTGACTCTGTGATTAGTGAGCTTTAGCGTCTGTCTTTATTAGTTTCACATCAGTTGGACAGCCTGAATGCTGTAGTTGGAAATTACAAAATGCAAGAAACGGGCGTGGCATCACACAAATTAGCCAACTTTAACCCAAATTAAACCCAGATAAACACCTTTAAAAGCAACTCAGAGGTTGAGAGGAAGCAAGAGCAGCAGTCCCAACTCAAATAACCTCTCTTCTGATGCTGGCACAGGTGCTTTCAAAGACCGCCTTCCAAGGCCAGGTGGATCTCATTCAGCAATCAGCTGTAGCACTCCTGAGGCACAACTAGAGGGCAGAAGAGGAACATGGACAAAGCACAGGGAAACACATACAGCTGTAAAACCCACCCTTAAAACAAATAAGTTGAAACCATATGTCATATACATGATTTGTCTGCACTAGTGATACAAGTGTAATATTGTCTACTTTTAGGATTTGTGTTTGTGACAATGGAATTAGGGAAACTGAGAAAATGCTAATCCATAAACCATCCTACTAATTATTTTAGTTGTTTCTTGTTAAGTGAGAGTTGGGGTTAGAAGCATTAATCTATCTCAGGGACTCTCCCCTTGTCGCCCCACCACTTCAGGGTTTGGAGCGGAGAGCCATGAAGAAACTCTGTGGCCCCCCGGGAGACAGCGGCAGCGAGACAGCTGTGAAGAGCAAGATAGTTTTTCATCTCATATACAGTTGTCCATTTTTGAAATCAGCCTGTTGAGCTGACTCTGGCTCATTCACAGTTACTTTGCTGTTTATTAACAACCACTGTCAAATAAACAAATAAATGAAATTAAATTGTCATTTTAACCTCTGAAAATGGTGAGACGTGCTGTTTACTCAGAGCCCAAAGTGACACCTTCACAGTGCTTGGAAGGTGTCACTTAATGGAGATGTTCCAAATTTAGTTTGACTTCCACCTAATCACATGACACACATAAAGCTAGGACACTCAGCTAGGATCCAAGTATGATCATACATTTAGAGCTACACACTGTGACGTAACTTTGCTGTTTTGCTTGCTGTTAACATGCTCCATGGGACGGCGCTACTTCCCAAAACGTAATGTATTGTGTTCATAAAGTCATAGAAAAATGCGTCTGCTCGAGTAAGACTTCTCTAAAAGACTCACAGGTTCCCTTTCCCCCTATTCTGACACAAGTGGCCTTTGTCTTATTCTAACCCCAGTTTGTGTATCAGTTCTGGTAATAACCTCCTCCTTTAGTTTAAAGAAATGACAGTTCTCAGATGTGAAACAAGTCCCTGCTTAAATAATATTCATGTGCCACAAACAATGTTAATCTATCAGTTAGAAAGGATTCATTGTTTGAATAGTTTTTAAACAACTCTACCTTTGTTATCATGTCAAATGTTGAATGTAAAAAAAACACCTTGTGTTTTACACAATGTCTAAGAATAGTTTTACATTTATATAGATCAATTTAGTGGAGTAAAAAGTCACTTCTCTCAGAGCCCTGAAGTAGATGGCATGAAAAGGACAGTGACTACTGTTTTGTTGTAAGATGTTCATTTGGCTCCATCTAGTGACCAAATGTGTATTCTGCAGCATGTGAGCTAAATTCTGCACCAATAAAGTCACAATGTCAGCAATGATAAATAAACAATATCTAATCAAAATAAAAAAGACAAAAGGAAGGTATTAAATTCAAAGTATTCAACATTTATTAAATTCAACACAAACATGTTCAACATATTTGATTAGTCACACCACAATGAAATGAATATGAAATAAACATAATATTAACATGAAACAAGAAAACATACACAAAAGCAATATAAAAACAGCTGCCAAAAAGATATTCCATAAACAAAATTTAAAAATCACTCTGCCTGCAATTTTAGAACAAGACCACGTAAATTGTGTATAGTCAACTTCAGTTTTTGGCATTTCTGCAGAAGCGCTGGCTCTCTGTTGAGAACAGCATTCATCTAAAAATCAAACACAGCAAACAAGCAATCGGAAATGTTTAGTGGAAAGGTGTCAGCCTGGAAAAGTTTACAGTCTGTAAGATAATATTTCAAGTATAATCCGGTCTGAAAGTCTTTTGTTAACACATTTGTATGCTTTAACTGTGCATGCAATCAGGTGTAATCCTTCCAAAAGGGAAAACAGAGAAGTTGTTCTCTGGGAAATTATCCTTATTACACAACTAAGTTAGACGCCATGTCCGTCACAAGGAACACTGTGATACTTACCATTCTAACGGTTATGGTGTCACTCCACACATCACGGAACAGTCTCCGGATATCATCTTTGAGGTCATCTGGGTACGTTAAAACCCTCCTTTTCTGAAACACAGGAAAAAGGGAGCAGTAAGAAAGTGTAAGTGTATGAAAAAAAAAAATTCAAGTACAGCTAAAGAATTTCTTGCATTATCCTTACAGTTTTTGATGAACTGGGACTCCTCACTTTGGGCAGGCAATAACCACTCTTCTGGAATAAGAAAACAATTTTTGACAGTGTGACATGTTAATTCATTTCCCCAAAGAAAATTTACACTGAAATGTATACCAGTAAATAAAAATCCAAATAATAATGCAGACCACAGTGGGATGGCTTACCCGGCGTGACTTTTTGAGAGGACTCTGCAGCTGCAAGGAAGAAAAGTTTGGGTATGAGAAGTTGACCCCATACTGTGATATGCTAAGTTACTCTGTGCATAGACGCTTACCACTTCTTGTGCATCATCAGCTGTCAACCCTTCTTCTGACTCATCAGGTGACCACGTGCTGTCGTCCGACTCATCTGGGGTGTCAGTCTCCTCTGTGTCCTCCGTCTTGCTTAAATTGCCTTCACTTGGTGGTGATGGTGATGGCGATGGCGGCTGCGGCTGCGGCTGCGGCTGCGGTTGTGGCCGTGGCTGTGGCCGCGTTGTCATTGGCTGGGACCCATGTGCTGATGTTGTTGATTGGTGGTAGAGAGGACCATGGTACTCATAAAGCCTCCTTGGCTGAAATAAGGTTACATGGGAGAGGTTTTAAAAAGGGTGTAAAATGCTGGTAGCCGATAACCACCCTCCTGGTTTGAGAAAACATGAAATGGAATAAGCTAATCAAATTTTTGGCAATATGCAATGTTTCTTTATTAATTCAAAGATTGATAGAGAATATTTGAAATGGTTGACAGGGTCTAATGTACATCCAATTATAATGCGTCTGATGACGATTGTGTGACGGTGTGAAATGTGTCTCTGCAAAATCAAATTCAAAATTTTTAATAATGTATATGCCACATGTATAGACTGGGTGTAAAAATCCATGTAACAATATAGAAAAAGTGGTGTGGCTTACCTTCAGCAACTTCTTAGAAGGATTCTTTACCTGCAAGTTAAAACAGATAAGGTAAGAGAAGTTCACCCCATATAGTGAGATACTAAGTTATGCTGTGCATTGGTGCTTACAACTTTTTGCTCCTCTTCATCCGACTCGCTGCTTTCCTCCCTCTCCTGTAAGGTCAGGCACGCCTCCGGTGTGACTTCAGTTTTGCTTGCCGCATCCCCAGGAACATGAGCTGGTGGTGGCTCTGAGGTCTCAGCCGTCCTGGAGCTGCTGTCCTCTGGCTCTTCTAAGGCCTCCCATGTGTGCTCCATTTCACTGACCTCACTCGGTATTGGCGGCTGAGGCTGCAGTGGTGGTGGCTGAGGTGGCTCTGAGGTCTCAGCCGTCCTGGAGCTGCTGTCCTCTGGCTCTTCTAAGGCCTCCCATGTGTGCTCCATTTCACTGACCTCACTCGGTATTGGCGGCTGAGGCTGCAGTGGTGGTGGCTGAGGTGGCTCTGAGGTCTCAGCCGTCCTGGAGCTGCTGTCCTCTGGCTCTTCTAAGGCCTCCCATGTGTGCTCCATTTCACTGACCTCACTCGGTATTGGCGGCTGAGGCTGCAGTGGTGGTGGCTGAGGTGGCTCTGAGGTCTCAGCCGTCCTGGAGCTGCTGTCCTCTGGCTCTTCTAAGGCCTCCCATGTGTGCTCCATTTCACTGACCTCACTCGGTATTGGCGGCTGAGGCTGCAGTGGTGGTGGCTGAGGTGGCTCTGAGGTCTCAGCCGTCCTGGAGCTGCTGTCCTCTGGCTCTTCTAAGGCCTCCCATGTGTGCTCCATTTCACTGACCTCACTCGGTATTGGCGGCTGAGGCTGCAGTGGTGGTGGCTGAGGTGGCTCTGAGGTCTCAGCCGTCCTGGAGCTGCTGTCCTCTGGCTCTTCTAAGGCCTCCCATGTGTGCTCCATTTCACTGACCTCACTCGGTATTGGCGGCTGAGGCTGCAGTGGTGGTGGCTGAGGTGAACCAACAAAAGATGTAACAGGCTCTGCAGTGTCCATTGAGTAGCTAGTGGACCCAGGAACACGAGCTGGTGGTGGCTCTGAGGTCTCAGCCGTCCCGGGGCTAATGTCATCAGAGTGGTCTGAGGTCTCAGCCGTCCCGGAGCTGCTATCATCAGACTGGTCAGAGGTCTCAGCCGTCCCGGAGCTGCTATCATCAGACTGGTCTGAGGTCTCAGCCGTCCCGGAGCTGCTATCATCAGACTGGTCTGAGGTCCCAGCCGTACTGGAGGTGCTGTCCTCTGACTCTTCAGCGGCTTCAGAGACCTGCCTGGCAGCTTCATCCTCTCTGCTTTTTTCCAGGGAATTTGTTTTTTGCCTTTTCCCATCTTCTGAAAGACCAATTAGTGAAAAAATGGTAACAGCATATTAGTGGCACTGCTCGAATGAGGAGCAGATCTGCTCTGGTGAGGGAAGCTTCTCTGTTAAAGCATTCCATAATAGCTATGAGCTGCCACCCAGTCTGACAATAACCATTAAACAAAGTAGTAGAAGTATTAGTAGTGGTAGTAAACTTCAAACTCACCAGATTGCACCTCTCCCTGCTGGTGGGTCCCGGTCTGCTTTGTAAGGTTGGAGAGCTCTCTTATCAGCACCCTGTCCAGGGACATTATCTGTGCTGCAGACAGACGGACCTGAGGAAGAAATACAGTCATTCATTGAGGACCTGGAACACATGCTGTAGACAGAACCTTCATACAGTGCTTTTTCCAGTGACAGAGGGCACCATTACCTGGGAGAAGTCCTCCCGCCTCAGGAACGTCAAGAACCTCCTGATGGCTACCAGGTAGCCCCTTGTGGTTTCTGCCAGGCTCTGCCTCTTCAGCTTAGCTATCCACCTAACAAACAGAAAAAGCAAGAGTGTCACACTGATGTCAGCAGTTACCAAACCATAAGAGCCAAATCAAAATAACAACATTTACCTTAAGACCTTCCCTGTCCTCTTTAAAAACATGAGGTGGGACGGGGGAGGGCTTTTCATCCCCCACATGTGATGTACAAAACGCCTGACATGTTTCACAGCCTTCTTAAGTTGCCGTTTACCCCTCCTGCTCGGCCCGGACCTCAAGAACTTTACTATCAGGTACTCTGTAAACCAGAGAAGAAGAAGAACGAACAGAGTGTTACTGAAATGTCAGGGCAATGCAGGCTGAGTAATTGATAAGAGTACATTATTACTTTACAAACCAAAGTCTTTTTTGTGCTTCTTTGGGGTGGGGGGCTGGCTGGCTGAACCTGCTGGCGTTTTGTTCTTCCTCATGGCAGACAGTTGGGATGCAATTGCTTTTTTTTGGTCTCCTCCAGGAGCAACTTCCTGGCATCCTTCTGTGAACACAGAACATTGGGTGAGATCTGTGGCATCTGAACAACTTACATTATAGAGCAGTCAATTCATTGATACCGGGTCTGCAAAGCAACAGCAATTGTTTTTACAAAAGTGCAAATACCCACCTCCATACTGTGCACAACCCTTAAATGCCGGTCCAGGCGGACGTAGCTTTTTCCATGGCATTCTGACATTGGGCAGCCTACTGGGCCTGCGTATCTAAACAAACATAGTCAGACATTTTCAGCACAGCAATCAGCAGCCTATGTAGTGTGTTTGCGTTTGCGTGCGTTTCACTTACCTTCCTGAAGCCATTCCCAGCATGAGTATGCGCTGTTTATGATCTGTGATCCCGTGCACACTCCTGAGGTGCTCTGAGCGATTGGCATAGGGAACTCTGCACAACGGGCAGCGCTTCATTGTCAACCTTTTTCTGTGGAGAAATAAGTGGACAGGTGAAAATCAAGTATTTAGTAAGCATTACACCTTTCACAAACCCCAAGAGGTAAGGACTTAATGTTATTACAGGTTACTAGTAAAGCCACCTCTAGACTAGCAGGAGCTAAATTTGACCACACATTCAAAGTCTGTATGTCCTTGCAAAGATTTTACAACTCTGGATTAGTATAAAGATACTCACCAGAAATCCAAACTGAGAAGAAAAAGTTTACTGTGTTGCGTCTCCTCAGCATCAAAACTCCTCCAAGACTGACACTGTTAAATTGCTGGGACATTTATTTGGGGACACAAGCTGCCTATCAAAATTAGGGGCACATCCCAATTCAGAAGGCCTGCCCACATGTTGTGAAGACGTTCTGGCAAGGATGTTAAGGAAAGCCCAATTCAGAAGGCCTGCCCACATGTTGTGAAGACGTTCTGGCAAGGATGTTAAGGAAAGCCACACATTAGGAAGACGTTTAGACGAGGACTCTGTGGAAAGGACGTAGAGCCTTGTCTTATGTTATGAAGACGGTTTGACGAGGACACTTTGGAAAGGACGTATAGCCTTGTTAAATGTTATGAAGACGGTTTGACGAGGACGCTTTGGAAAGGACGTAGAGCCTTGTTAAATGTTATGAAGACGGTTTGACGAGGACGCTGTGGAAAGGACGTAAAGCATGGCAACATTTTAAATTAACGTTTTTCAAAGGTCACACAAATTGTCTTTAAAATTATGGAATAAGCGAATCAGCGGTCAGAAACATCAAATCTGTGCAAAGCGGAGATTCAGTATGACACCCACACTAACCCCTGACTATTAACTTAAAAATGTTCTCCATTAATCGACTGCAACTGAAAATCGTGAGAAATGCCTCCAGCGACCCAGCGCCTAAAGCGCCCATCCTGCAAACAGTCCCAACCTTATAAAGAGTACCCAGCACATCTTGTCATTTTAAATGTTATGGTATGTTTAAAAAACTGTGTTTTACTACTGGCTTTAACCTTCCCTAGATATGTGTTTTACACACCCTTCATGTGACTAAAACATCCTAATGTATAAAGTGCTTGGTAAATAAAGCTGCCATAAAGTGGAGTAAACAGTACAAATTTCTTCGGTAACATGTAGTGAAGGAGAAATAGGCATGAAAAGGAAATACCCAAGTAAATTACAGGTGCCTCAAATGTGTACCCAGGTACAGTACTTGAGTAAATGTACTTAGCACTGCTCTTATTCATCAGGCTTCTGCAGCCCTTTAAAGCCCCTTGACACAGTGTCATGTTAAGGACACTGATGGACTAAAGTGAGCGAAATTTAGCCAAATCAGGAAACCAACCCATGAAAGCTCCTTGGAAATGCTGGTGTCATAAAGAACACGAAGAAAGGAAGCAATACATTTTATACAAACAAACCATTTATTAAAAAATACATACAAAAAAATGTAAAACATAAACAAGGTTGGCTGCGAATGTTAAAGAAAATGTGTGGGCATGAACTTTAAACAGTCACATGGGGTTGGCCAAAAAACCAAACAAACCATTTATTAAAATATAAATACAAAGATACAAATAAAATGTAAAACATGAACAAATATGTACATATATAAACAGTGGACACAATCTTACACTAGCCAGGAGATATCTGGAAGGCTGTCGACCTCTCACTCAAGGTTAGATGTTAGTGGCTTCAAGGAAGAAAGTTTAGAGAAGTTGAACCCCATACTGTGAGATGCTAGATTTCTGCTGTGCACCTGTGCTCACCACTTCCAGGGCATCCTGAGATGGAAGCCTCTTTTCTTCCCAGCTTCTGAAAGACACAGATAAACCTGTAAAATGTGTATACACATATGCATCTTTCCACCACAGTGCACAAGGACACAGATCCGGATGGCTACTGAGACATTACCCTTACATTACCCTTTTCAGAAAATACTTTTGTACTCTCACTCAAATACATATTTTCATGACATGTTTTAGTAAAGTAACCTTACTGTGTGTGACTACCTCCAGACTAGCAGGAGCTAACGGTAACCACAGCTGTGCGGCTGTTTTAATCCATTTTTATTAAAGTGGGCCTCATGGAAACCATCTCACCAATTCTCCAACCTTGTAAACACGGTTTCCAAAGTTCTTCTCTCCTTTACAGTGACCACTTGGGGAAAGGTTACGTGGGCGGGGCCTCCTCTCGGCTATATTAAAAGGTGAAAGCGAGTGTTTCCTTTAATGAGAGAACTAGAGGCACAAGAAGAGAAAAACTCATTGAGTGTGAGCTTCGGGCACAGCAGTCAGGTAAGCTCTTACTACTATTTATTGCTGCCTAAGTAATATGTACTGTCAGTTGTAGATCTTGTGCTGTATTGATGCATTGTTGATGCATTTGTACCTCAAATGTTGCTTTGGATAAAAGCCAAGTGAGTAAATGCAAATATAAACATGTGTTCACTACTCTGAAAGTCTGATGTCAGCTGATAACAGTAATGTCAATGTGCCTTTCTAGTCTGTGTGTCTAACCGAGTTTAGCAACGCATCTGTTGTCTGTCCCTGTCTTGGTTGCTTTCCAGCCTCTGTATATGAACAATGTTGGAGTGAAATACAACCATTTATTGATAAATGCTGATGAGAAGTGGTGTTTAGAAACTGCAGCTCAGAAAATATAACTTGCCTTGCTGGGACTCGGTGTAACTCACACTGTATTTAGAAAGATAGGTTGCTTTTAATCAGATCTATACATTTGAATTTGTAGTACGTTTACATTTGATACTTAAGTACTTTTAAAACCAGGTACTTCTCTTGTATTATACTGGATGACTTTTACTTGAGTGAACTGCTGTAATTCTGAAATGACGATGAAATGTTGTTGCTGTTGAAATGTTACAAATACTATTGTAACACTACTATAAAGAATCTGTGGGCAGACATTAGCCAAATAAAGTGTAACCTACACGTATATTTTTGATAATATAACGTTATTATTTTTGTTTGAGGTTGAAAGATTTAGTTACACAGTCATTTCTCCTAGTTCCTCCTCCAGGTTGTGGATGGAGCCTCTGCGGTGGACAGATGTAGATTTAGCCAGAGCCAGGATGGCACTGTGCCGATATGTGCTACTTAAATATTTCGACCCAACCGTTGATTCAGTTTGTGCAGACTAAAAATTGGCAAATCGTTTTTATATGCAAGTTAATGTTAACCTTTGCCGGTCCTGGCTTGACAAGGTTTCTTGCTCAACGTGTCTTTCAGATTTTGTCCAGGAGATGGTGCCTTTGCTCAATGATTGTTGGAGTTACAAGCTATATCACAATGTAAAAATACTTGAAGGAATATGAACTCATCCCATCAACAAGAATAAATGAGTAGTGTAAAATGAAATCTCATTTGTTTCCAACCGTTTGTAATTATTTTATGCTTTAGACTGACAAACAAAGAAATATTGAATTTTTACAATGAATTATCACAGAAACTAATCAGTGGATTAATCCATAATAAAAATAATACTACATTTCCCCATTTAAACTTCCATACTTTTACTTGTTATTTTCAAGGCAGTGCTTTTTACTTGCAACAGTACAGTGAGCTGCTAGTACTTTTAGGGTTAGGGTTAGGGTTAGGGGTTAGGGAAGGGGACTGTCTCCCTCCGGAACGGGAAGGAGGGTGCACGGTCCATCCAGCCCTCGGACCTCCCGTAACCCCGGTCCCAAGCAGGTTCACGGGCCCGCTGACGGCGTCTCCCGTAGCGAACCTCTGTCCATCCATACATCTTTATATGGTGGAAAAAACTAACTGCCCAAAAAACTAAATCCAAAAAAAACTAAATCCAAAAAAACAAGAGAGAGTCTCTTTATAATTAAATATATATTTTTATTTTCAAAACCAAAAGAACTATTTACAATGAACAAAAAGTGTGCAAAAACGTTTCGACCCGCAAAGGGTCTTCTTCAGGTCTAGCACACTGAACTCTCTCCTGAACTGTTGTTTGTGAGAGGTTTGAAGGAGAAATGAATTCTCCCTCTCCCCCCTCCCTTCCACACTCACTCATGTGCCGGCTCCGCCCCCTTGTGGCCTCAAAGGTTCGTGTCCGGTCTTTTCACTTAAAAAACCTTGTTTTTACCACAATTATAAATACCAAAAAAACTGAACTGATTTAAAACTTGTAAAACTGTTGGTGAGTATGCTTTTGATTATATTTTAACAATTTTTAGTAGTTCAATTGCATATTAAATAATCGAATTAAAGGTTCGTGTCCTGCAAATTTGTCCAAAAACATGCTTTAAAATTTGTAATCCTCTTTCAGATTGTATTTTATAAGCTTTTGGAAGGCCCCTAAAATGATGGTGCTGTTTTTAAGCATAAAAGGTAAGCCTTAAATTAATACCAGGTAAGTATAAAAGTGAAAGTAAGTATAAAGGTTGCAGTTAAAATTAGGAAAAAGGTAAGTATTGTATGTCCAGCTGAGGTTAGGACTTTTTTCTTAAAAAATAAGTGTAAATATTCTAAAAATTACGTGTAAAGGATTAATTGCCAGCTATGTGTGAGGTTAGGGTTAGAATAACCGATAGGTTAGGATTCAGGTAAATATTGATGTTGCAGAGAAAAAAAAGGTAAGGGTTAGGGGAGAAATTTTTGAAATGTCGACGCCGAAGGCGGCGACATTGAATGCACAGGCCATCAGCTGTCTGCCAGTCCCGAGCACTCACCTCTCATTGAGGCCCCCCGGAATCAAAGTGCCCAGTCGGTGTATCCAGAGCCTCTCTTCCCGTCGTCTCTGGGCTGTGGACCACCTGGGATTGCATTGGAGGATCAGTGCAGTGAGCTGGGGCCAGCCATGCTCAATAAAGTGCTTAACCAAGGGGATGTGTGTCTTTTTTCCTCACTATGTTGTATCTGTGTTGTGTAAATCGGACCAACAAAGTGTTCCCCGTTTCTCCTACATACTGGATCTTACACAGTCTGCATCTGATCAAATATACACAATTTTTGGAATGGACATTGCCATGCCTATGTGTGACAAAAACATTATGGTTGTGTGGATTGCACACCCAAGGTTGGTGCTTAAAAAATTCTCCGTGCCCAATGGGTCTAGAGTTCACAAGTGTTGCCAGCTTGGCCTTAACCAGAGTATCCTGCAGGTTTTTATTCTTCCTAAATGCAGCTATGAGTCTGTGGTCCTGTAGCAGCTGAGTTGTGGAAATTAAATTTTGAAAGTTGTGTTTGAGTGTCCTAACTAATTTTACTGCTGAGGGAGAATAGGTGGTGATAACTGGAAGCAAGGAATCTGTGGTGAGAGGTTTTGTGTGCAGGAAGGTTTTAAAAGCTCTCCGTAGGAAGGCCCTGCAGTACCCTCTGCTGGTCAGAGCGGAGAACAGCACCTTCGTCGCCTCTTTAAAATCCTCTGATCTAGTGCAGATTCTGTGGAATCTCAGCAGTTGGGACTTGATGAGCCCTGCAAAGGTGTGCTTGGGGTGAAAGCTGGATTTGTGCAAAAGAGCATGTGTGTCGGTTTGCTTAAAAAACACCTTGAGGTCAAGTCTAGCCGTTTGAGTGAATGTGGGACCCTTGAATGTTGTGGTATCTAAAAAGTCAACCGTGGTGGGACTTATACAATATTTCAATTTGATAGCAGGGTTATGGTGATTCAAAATGTTCACAAATTGGTCAAAATCCTCTCTCGGGAAGGGCCAGACACCCCATATATCATCCAGAAACCTATAGTAGTGGAGTGGTTTTTTGGGGCAGGAATTTAGTGCAGTCGTTTCCCACTCTGCCATGAAAATGTTGGCATATGCGGGCGCAAATTTCTTTCCCATGGCCGTGCCCTTAATTTGGAGGAAAAATTGTCCATCAAATTCAAAATCATTTCTGGTCAAATTGATCTCTAGGAGTTGCAGTAGTTCTCTGTCTGGTCTTTGGGCGTTTGGGTATTTTTGGAATATATTTTTGACTGCTTGGATGCCTTCTGAGATTACAATGTTTGTGTAGAGACTATCAATGTCCATGGTGAAGAGGAATGCATTTAGGGGGATGTTAATCTGCTTAATTCTTTCCACAAAATCATAGGTGTCTTTGATGTAGCTGGCATGCCTGATCGAGAGAGGATTGAGGAAATGGTCAATGAACTCAGCTGTATAGTAGGTCTCGCTGCTACAATCAGACACAATAGGACGTCCTGGAGGGATCTCATGGGGTTTGCTCCACCCAGCAGGGTCCTTATGAATTTTGGGTAGCATGTAGAACAGTCTAGGTCGAGGTTCACTGTCACCCTTCAAGTATAGAGTCTGTTTGTGGTTGATGAGTCTTTTGTTGTAGAGTGATTGTATGATCTTGTCAATGAGTGGAATAGTGTCCTTGTAAATGGGCTTTTTTAGCTTGGAGTAGTAAGTTGTGTCGTGTAGTTGTCTGTAGCCCTCCCACAGGTACTGTTCCCTGTCCATGATCACCACTGCGCTACCTTTGTCAGCTGGTTTAATGATGATGTCCTTGTTCCGTCTTAATTGGTCTAGTGCTTCAAATTCATATTTGTTCAAATTTTGTTTAACCCAGCCGAATCTGAATTGGTTTTGGAGGTATTGTAGGTCTGTCTGGATGAGTGTGTCAATGTCTGGAGGTAACTTACCCTTAGGAGGGACCCACTGGGACTTGGGAGTGAAAAGTGGTGGTTGTGTGTCAGGTTTGTGTTCAAAGTAGGTCGCTAGTTTAAGTCGTCTGTGATACTGCTGTATGTCGAATCGAATTTGGTTTTTAAAATTTGGGTTGCTGCTGGTTGTCGGGATGAAGTTCAGTCCCCTGCTGAGTAGAGCAAACTGGGCTGCAGACAAAATAAAACATTTAGACAAATTAATCACATTCTTACCCCCCGTCTGAGGTAGTGAGTTCACGGGGTTAATTACTTTAAAGAGTCCAGCCAGTGGTCCAGCATCCGCTTGGCCGTGGAGCGGGACCAGTGGATGCCATCTCTCTCCGTGGCAAAGTCCCTCCCCGAGAGTGCAGGGAGAAAGGGCTGGTTGGTGGTGATGTAGAGATTCAGCTCTCTGAGGTTATCCTGGTCTGGCTGAGGCAGGGTTCTGGAGAAGTTAATCTCCGGCACCATGACTGTGGCCCGAGGGAATGCCAGTTTTGCCATCCTGACTGCTCTCTGTAGCTGCTTGATGGTGGTGTTTTGTATGTTTTGGGCCCTGTTATTGATACCAAAAGAGAGGATTAGTTTTTGGACCGTGGTGCAAATGTTGGTTCTGGCCAGGATGGCTTCTGCATGCCTGAAGGTGGCTCCAGGAAAGCTGTCCACCTGTAAGTCTGGGCACTGAAAAGGTGGAAATCTGGCCACATTTGAGTCACCAATGATGAGCCATTTCCTTCTGGCAGTCAGGCACCACTCCTTCATTTTCCTCTGTGTGTTGATGTGTCTAGTGGGGCGGCGTGTGAGTGCAGGTGCTGGTGTGGCAGCTACTGCTGGGCCAAAAGTCAGTTGTCTCTGGACTGGACCTTGTCCAGTTTTTGGGGCAGGGGGGAGGGGGAGGCTAACTACCTGGGGAGATGAGTCAGACAGTATTACCGTGTTGTCCGTGGTGATGGGTTCCCCAGAGGTCGCCGTCACCCCCGTTGGCAGAGGAGCTGGAGGCTGCTGGGAGGCTGCTTCCTGGCGTCTCACCTTCCGTCTGCTGCGCAGTGTCCTTTGCTCCAGAGGCTTTGGCTGTGTGTCAGGTATCACCTGAGAGGATGGGGAGAGCGAAGGAGAGAGAGGAGCCGCAGTCTGCTGAGGGACTGGAGTGGAGAGGAAGTCAGGAGAGAGAGGAGGATGTCCAAGAGCGGAGGACGGAGAGGAAGAGAACCTGGGAAAGTTGTCCCTCTGTGTCTCTGGCTGTGGTTCTGGAGACCAGTCCGTTACCTGATCCGTCATGGTGGCCTTGGTGGAGCGCCGCGGCTCGGGGGGTGTTGCAGGGTCCAGCAGTAGGAGATCCTCCCTGGGTGGGATGTGTATTTCGGCCGTCACAACTGTGTGGTGAGGTGAGTCCCTCTGTGACGTGGCAGGTGATGGCTGTGCCCCCGCTGTCTGTGTGGTGCCCGCTGGGTGCAGCAGAGTCTGTGTGGTGCCCGCTGGGTGCAGCAGGGTCTGTGTGGTGCCCGCTGGGTGCAGCAGGGTCTGTGTGGCGCCCGCTGGGTGCAGCAGGGTCTGTGTGGTGCCCGCTGGGTGCAGCAGGGTCTGTGTGGTGCCCGCTGGCAGCGGCAGCAGAGTCTGTGTGGTGCCCGCTGGGTGCAGCAGGGTCTGTGTGGCGCCCGCTGGGTGCAGCAGGGTCTGTGTGGCGCCCGCTGGGTGCAGCAGGGTCTGTGTGGCGCCCGCTGGTAGCGGCAGCAGAGTCTGTGTGGCGCCAGCTGGGTGCAGCAGGGTCTGTGTGGCGCCCGCTGGGTGCAGCAGGGTCTGTGTGGTGCCCGCTGGTAGCGGCAGCAGAGTCTGTGTGGCGCTAGCTGGGTGCAGCAGAGTCTGTGTGGTTACAGGTTGTGTGCCAACCGGCCCGGGGGGCGGAGCTATCGCCGTCTGAGCAAGTGTGTGTATGTGTGGCTGTCCATTGTCAATCTGTGTGGTACTCGCAACCGGTCTGGTGGGCTCCAAAGTCTGTGTGACTGCAGATGTGTGTATGTGCTGGTCATGGTCGGCTGGTGGAGGTCCAGGTCTGTTAGTGAGCGTCTGTATTAAGAGTACCTGTGTGTTGTCCAGAGTGTCCTGGTGTAGTCTGCGTCCGAAGTGGCGCCTAGCCCAGGCAGAGGCTACGTCAAAGTTGTCCTGCCAGTCTGTCACTCTGAGCTGGGTGAGGATTTGCAGATCATTCCTTACACAGTCTTTGTAGTGATCACGGAGGATGAGCAGGGTGTTGTAAGCCCAGTTCCTCGCGTTGCCGTCTATGAGAGTCAGAGTGGTGGGGTTTGGAGCCGCCGGTTTAATGACGCTAGCTAGGTTGTGAGCCATCTTAGTGATGGAGACAGGTGGTTCTGGTGCCATCACATTGCTAAGGTGGTGTTTAGCTTTGATCAGTCTATATATGATTCTGGTTGTCAGAGTAAACTCTGGGTCGGATGGCGGAGAGTCACCGACAGCGCGGTTCCCTCGGGTCGCTCTGCTGTTCCCCTCGTACCTGTGTTCTCTGTAGTAGTTGGTTGTGGTCCGGGCGGTATGCGGTCCCCGCTGGCCGCGGAAGGCGTGTCCGCGGTAGTCATCCCGGCCGGGTGACTGTCGGCGGTCGGCCCACGCTCGCGGCGGGGCTCTGGCAGCGGCCGCGTAGGAGCGGTCAGGCCGGCGCTGATGGCTGTGGCGGCGGGTGGAAGAGGTCCCTCTTCCCGTCGGTGGAGAGCGATCCCGCTGTCTCCTTCGGCCGCGTCGGTACTGGACCAGGGTCCAGTCATCTTCCCGTCGGTGCGCCATGTGTGTGGCGGTTGTAGTGTGTGAGCAAGCAGTGTCGAAAAACACGTATTTAACACTGATTTAAACTATACTGAGCAACTAAAAAATGGCGGAAAAAGTTGAAAAAAAATGAGAAAGTGAGTCGTGATGGTCCGTTTTGCAATTAATTTATTTAATTGCAGTAAATTGCAACGTTTCGGTCTTAAGAAGACCTTCATCAGGCAAAAAACTTACTTGTGTTGAGTTCTGTTTGTCCAAAAGCGAGCGAACGCAGAGCCTCAACGCGGGACAGGAAGTAAACAATTTCTGGGTGAGCCTTTGAGACCTCCCACTTCCTGTGAGGTGGGGGGGTTTTCCCAATGACGTAGTGTAGTCGGGAGCCATTTTTGTAGTTTATATGTAATAAAATCGAAATAAAAATCCAGTGTGTGTCAATTGTGAGAATTATAATATCCCGGTTGGTTGGGTTTAGGTCAGATGGTCAAATGGTTAAGGTTAGAGCCAAATTCACCTGGTTAGGCTGTATGAAATTGTTAACCATGTCCCACACTGTCAAACTCTGCCAGACACTCACACAAACCATCACATAGATCTCTGAGAATGAAATAAAAGAGAAACTGAAAAGGGCACTGATAAAAGGCACAGTGTCGTAACAGGAAGGTGGGTCAACATATACATATTTTTGTAAACACCCTGAAATTAAAGAGGCTGCAAAAACCTTCAGCATGAGGGCCCAGAGAACCAAAGAAGCATGAATGTTAAGAAATTCACCTTGAACCACAACAGTGTTTCCTGTATAAAATTGGGTAGGCAAAGAAAGGCTGAGGTAGCAGTAGCTGATGTGTTGGAGCCAAAGGGGTTAGGGAAGGGGAACTGAACCTGACCCCCATCACGATGGGAGACAGGAGGTGCACGGTCCTTCCCCCGGTAGTCCCTTCCCCCACGGTAAGAGAAGTGGTTTTGACGTCCGTCAAAACCTGTTTGTGGACGATCTTCATAGACCCCCTGTCCAGGGGGTCGGCGTCGTCCGCCGCGGCGCACCACGGTCCATCCGTCGCCATGAGTGAGGCTCATGACTGAGTGGTCTTATTAAGCCCTCTATAACCTAAAAGCGAAAAAAAGTTTTTACTCTCAGAAATAACTGAAATTGTTTTTTTAAAATTAAAAACCGAAAAGATTCAAAATAACGGAAAAATTATTTTTTTCGAACGAAAATTAAATTTAAGCTTTCTGTAAAAAAATTAATTCTACTGTGTGTGCCCGTGCGCGACGTTTCGACCCCAATGGGTCTTCTTCAGGCTAAGGCACAATACAGGTGAGAAAAGAATGCTGAAACTGGCAGGCTGGCTGAGATGTTGCCTCATGGAGAGTCAGAGTAAGAATGAAGGAAGGAGGAGGCCACTCCCCTCAATTTATAGTCTCCCGTGCTTGTCATTCTGCCTCATAGGAATTTGTCTGTTTTTTAACCCTTGGATACTAATGAGTGTTTTATATTGAGTTAAAATGAATTTGTTTTTAACCCCTTCTATTCTGGATTATGCCAATTAGAATTTTATAGTATTTTTAGGCTGATTTAGTTATATACCTTGTTACATCTATTGAATTACAAGTAGTTTTTAAAAAAATAGTCAATGATGTTGTTGGATGAATTGTTTGTTGTTGTAGGCCCATAGATGTTTTTTTAAGGACTTATATCATGTGTTTTTAACCCTTTGCACACTGTTATTGTTTGGAATTATTACCGTTTAATTAGTGTTACTGATAGAATAACAACGAATTTGTTTTTAACCCCTTGTATGTCAATAATTGCTTTAATAGGTCTAGAATCATGTTTGCTTTTTAACCCCTTGCATGCCAATTGTTGTTAAATGAGATGTGACTTTTAATTTTAACTGATAGATGATATATAATTTTTATTAACTAAACGTCCACATAATTTGGGGTCAATCTGGTTAGGGTTAGGCAAGGGTGTAAAATGGTTAGGGTTAGGATAAGAGGTCGGGGCGTGGTTAGGATTAGGAATAGAATTCAGGGTAACTGTAGGAAAATTAAGGAAGATGGAGAAAAATTGGGAAGACTGGGGAGAGAAAATTTGTGTTAGGCCTTCATTCCATGAACTCTAACTTTTTAACCTAATTTGTCAGTCTAATTATATTTTTTGTTCAATCCTGATGGTTCTATTGTACTTAATAGGTAGATCCATTTTCTTTCAATTTTCTTTCTTTCAGTGTCCGTCCAAAAGGAATTGCTTTGGATCCCTGCCACTCTAACAGCCAGCAAGCCATGGAAAATAAAATGTTTAACTATGGGGATCTGAGTTTCCTTTTTATTCCTGATATTATATCTGTGTTGTGTCATACGAGTTGAAATAGAATTCTTGGTCTCCCCAATGTATTGTATTCCACATTTGGAGCAGAAAATAATGTAGATACAGTTTGAGGTATGAGGGCTAAACCTTTGTGGGATTTCAAAAATAGTCTTATTAACCCTGTTGCGTACAAATTTTAGGCTACAGAAATATTCAGGTGTAGAATTGATTTTTGGTTGTCGTATGGGTTTAAGTTTTGCACGTACCAAAAGGTCCTTTAGATTTTTGTTTTTCCTGTAGGCTGAAATTACTTGATGGTTCTGTAACACCCCCAAATCTATCATTACTGATTTGAAATTGGTTTTCAGCTTATTGTTCAGAATCATACTGGCTGATGAGAATGTAGTGATTATAGGAATGATTGTATTTCGGGATTTCTGTTTCTGAACTTGGAAAGATTTGAGACACTGTCTCAGAAAGGTTCTCGAGTAACCTCGTTCACGTAATACTCTGAAAAGAATTTGGACTGCTTTCCAAAAATCCTCTGTCTGCGTACATATTCGACTGAATCGCAACAATTGGGATTTCACAATGCCCTTAAACGTGTGTTTTGGGTGAAAACTTGTTTTAAAAAGAAGGGCATGTGTATCCGTCTTTTTAAAGAACACTTTAACATCCAATGTGTGGTTCTGAATGAACGATGGTCCCTTGTAAACTGTGGTATCCAAAAAGTCTATTGAGTTTTGATTCGTTATGTGTTTGCATTTAATAGAAGGGTCATGGTTGTTTAAAATATCCATGAATTGGTCAAATTCCTGCTCTGAATATGTCCAAATTCCCCAAATATCGTCCAAATACCTGAGATAATAGAGAGGCCTCTTGGGGCATTTGGATAGGGCTTCCTCCTCCCAGTTTGCCATAAATATGTTGGCATAAGCTGGGGCAAACCTTTTGCCCATAGCTGTTCCTTTAATTTGTAAATAATATTCTTCATTAAATTCAAAGTCATTTTTGGTTAAATTAATTTCCAAAAGCTCTAATACTGCGTCATCTGGTCTGTTTTCATCAGGATATTTTTGAAATATTTTTTGGACTGCCAGTAAACCTGCCTGGGTATCGATATTAGTATAGAGACTCTCTATATCCATGGTAAAGAACAGGGAACTTGGAGGCATTTTAAATTTTTTTATCATATCAATGAAATGATAAGTGTCCTTAACATAAGATGGATGTTTGACAGACAGAGGATTTAAGAAGTAATCTATGTATTCTGCCGTTCGGTAGGTCTCACTACTGCAATCCGATACTATGGGTCTGCCTGGAGGTATCTCGAAGGGCAGAGTCCATTGTTCCGGGTCCTTGTGGATTTTGGGTAAGATGTAAAACTGCCGTGGTCTTGGTTGTGTATCTCCCTTAAGGTATCGCTTCTGTTTGGCATTAATGAATTTTTGCTTATGTAATTTATCTATAATCTCGTGTACTACCGGAATGGTCTGATGGAAGATGGGTGCCTCCAATTTTTTGTAATAGGTCTTGTTATTTAATTGACGTTGAGCCTCTGTTATATACTGATCCCGTCCCAGTATTACTACCGCACTCCCCTTGTCTGCGGGTTTTATAACAATGTGTTTTTTGTGCATCAGTTCTCTGAGTGCAGTAACTTCATGCTGTGATAAATTGGGTTGTTCTTTATAGAATTTGAAACATTTTTTAAATTCCAAATTGTCCCGATGAATTAAGAGATTAATTTCCGGTAGTAATTTATGGTCAGGTGGTGTCCACGTTGATGGTGGCATGAACGGCAGTGGCTGACGATCCCTATTATTTTTGAAATACGTTGTCAGTTTTACTTTCCGGTGATAATTTTGAATGTCCAATTGTAATTGTCTTTTTGATTTTTGACTAAATCTATCGTTGGAACAAAGGTCAAGCCCCTACTCAGTACCTCCAGTTGGGCTCTTGAAGGGCTAAAATCCTTTGCCAACACTATAACATTATGGCACGAAGGGGATTTTGACCCCTTGACCCCCTCTTCCGAGAGACTTACGGGGACCTTAAGTTTAAACAGTCAAGCCAATGGTGGAACATTGCTCGGGCTGTATCTCGAGTCCAATGCACCCCGTCCCTTTCTGTTTGGAAGTCTGAGGTTGGAAGGAGAGGAAGGAAAGGCATGTTTTTGGAGATATGATGGTTCAGCGTTTGCAGGCTTAGCTGTTCTTCCCTGGGCAAGGAAGAAGAGAAATTTATAAGTGGGATCCAAATCTCTGCAAAGGGAAACTGTCTCTTCGCCTCCCTAACTGCCGCCTGTAACTGCTTTACGGAAGTCTCTTTGGCTTTTTGTCCACGGCAGTTAAGGCCAAATGAGAGAACCACCTTCTCCACTGTCACGAGGCCCGATGCCTTCGACAGAATCGACTGAGCATGCCGGAAATTGGCCCCTGGATAGCTCTCCATCTGTAGGTCCGGTATGGCGTACATTGGTATCCTGGAGAGATTGGAATCCCCAATGATGAGCCATTTCTTACTCACATTGAGGCCCCAGTCGACCATTTTGCGGTCTGTAGTGATGTGTCTCTTGACCTTGTAAAAGTATGGTTGTGGAGTGGAGGTATTTTCCATCCTTGAATCTCCTTCACTTGTACCATTCGGGTCCTCTGGGGGTCCCTGAAAGGGGACTGCCCTTTGGTGAGCTCGAGGTGATCCTGCCTCGGCC